ACCCCGCCCTGTCCCCCCCTCCAGCCAAGCCAGCCAGCCCAGTCAGTCCACCCCTCCAGCCCAGTCAGTCAGTCAGAATGTCCGTCTGTCCGTCCAGCCCAGCCAGGGTCGGCCACCGCCCCCACATCATCTCGTCCTCCTCCTCCTCCTCTCCCCTCCCGCGCTCACCTGAAAGCGCCGCGTCGCCTCCTCCTTCTCCTCGGGCTCGGCGCTCCTCCTCCTCCTCCTCTCCCGTCCCGCGCTCACCTGAAAGCGCCGCGTCGCCTCCTCCTTCTCCTCGGGCTCGGCGCGGTCGGGGTGGACGCGGAGGGAGGCGCGGTGGTACCCCCGGCGGATCTCCTCGGGGGAGGCCTCCCGGCGAACGCCCAGGAGGCGGTAGAGGTCGGGGGAGCCGAAGGCGGCCTCACACTCCTCCAACAGCCCCATCCCGCCAACCACCGCCTCCCGCCTCCCCTCAGCCGCCGGCCCGCGCGTGCGCAGCGGCGACACCGCCTCCCGCCCAACCAAATCTCGCGAGAGTTCGTTGGGCGGGAGGCGGCGGTGCCGCGCACGCACGGGGCGGGCGGGCCGCTGAGGGGAGGCGGGAGGCGGCGGGATTTGGGGCCGCCCCCTGAGGGGAATTTTCAGGTTTATCCTTCATAAACCTGCGCGACCCGCGCTCCGCTGGCAGCCGGGGAGGGCTCCTGCGGGATTAATGTGAGGAGGAGAAGGGGAAGAAGGCGGGAGGTGGGCAGAGAGCCCCCCGCCTGCGAACTCTATGTTTTCTGCAAAGTAGGAAAGCCAGAAGCGCTCAGGTACAGTTACTATCAGTAAAATAAATAAAAAAAATAAAAAAAGGAAAAAAATGGCAAAGTACTCCTATTCAGCTTTCCACTTCCCATGGGTAAACAAGCTGTGGGTCGTTCAGGGATGGATGGAATCCACTGCTCGCCTGCTTTCTAAGCATACAGATTCTCCACAATAGAAAGTCAATAGAAAAAATAGAAAATAGAAAGTCTCTGAAACTTTCGTTAAAACACGCGGACCCCAGATAAAAAAAAAAAAATTAAAAATCAATCAGCTCTTCAAAATACTGATATTTATTACATTAAAACCAAAGCTCTGGCAGTTCACACATTTTCTTTTCCTTCCAGCCCGTCCCCAATGTGACAGCGGGAAGGCAAAAGTGTTTGCATGTATCCAAACAAAACCATGGAATAAAAGTCCAATAAAGATATGTTTTTACAAAACTCAGACGGTCTTTAATTCAATGCAATGTAAGTGGTACACACAGATGGACACGTACAAAAGAGATAGATCCATAAAATAAGAGTTAGCATTTTCCATTTCTTGTGCCTTTTTGATGAAATGTAGAACACAACCCATACCGTGGAGGGAATAAAACACAGCAGCATCAACTCGGATTTCAGCTCTTATTTACAGAATTTGGATGGTAACATTGTAGAATATTCTCACTCTTCATAAAAAATATCTTAAAAAAAAGCTAGCTGTTATCTACCGTTATTGGACAGCTCTGCTGATGTCAGTATCACTATTCACAGCTTGATTAACCGGTTGGGGTTGGAGAGCGGAGGCCACCCCCGCGGCGATGGCTGCAGTCGCTCCTGAGAGACGCTGAACTCTCTTACCTGATCACCTCATTGACTTCTCCAGCAGACCCCTTCTCGGGGGCTTCCACGTCCCAGTGCTAATGCTGACTGCAGCACGAACACCGCAGGATAAAGACGTGACAGCCAAAGGGGAGTCAATACAAAATACTTAACCATTTTATTCTTCTGATTTTTTCAACTTTGATTTTGCCTTTCTTTCATGTGAGGAAGCTTTGGCCGCTTCGGTTTCAGCAGGATTCTTTTTTGGCCTTGCCTTTGTGGAACGTACCAGGTCTTCGCGTCCCAGTTCGACCATTTTCGCTTCCCAGGACTTCATTTCATTCTCGTACCGGACCTTATCATCTTCGGCAAGCTGCAGGTATGGCTGGAGGAGAACCAACAGTTAGGGAACGGGCTTTGTGGAGATAACTGCCATGCCACATCCTCCCCTTTCATACAAAGGCCACTCAGACCAAGACACACGCAGTGCACATCTGTCCTGCTTTGAGTGACACAGGACCCCTTTCACAGAATCCCAGAATGATGTGGGGGTGGAAGGGACCTCTGGAGATCATCTAGTCCAACCCCCTGCCAGAGCAGGTCCACCCAGAGCAGGTCCCACAGGAAC